GTTGTTAATTGTTCTCAATAATTTCAATTAATCAGAAAAGAAATTATTTTGTGATTTATAGTCTATATGTTTTAGAGAAATTTTTAAATAATCTAGGTACCTATACATAATATAAGAGAAAGTTATTGTTAGTTTTTTCTTTTTCTTATAGTGGAGGTAAATATTAGCTAATCCGTTTTTTGGCAGGTCCACCTTGCGGTAGAGTTCTTGTTGCAGCCTTCCGTCTTACCACTGGACACGATTGCCTTGCAGCCCATCTGCACCGCTTTGGCATTTTTACCGAACCTTTTTGCCCACTATGCGATTCTTGCGAAGTAATGGAAAGGGACCACCTGCTACGATGTGGGGCTCTTCAAGGACTTACGGAGGTGTCGAGATATTGGGAAGCGAGAGCGCTCTTGGGGCAATGACTTCGGTCTTCTGTTTCTGTTACATGTTCTTTTGTAAACTTTTTTCCTTGCCTTTGGAAATGGAAAAAACCCTTGTGATAGACCAGGTCTATTAGTGTTTTAAATTTTTTAATGTCTGTCACTTTCTTTAGACCAAAATCTTCATGATTTTTAATAAAATCATTTATATATCTTCAATATCTATACTATTAAATGAATCCTGAAAGTCAAATGAATGCACTGAAACAATATTTATATCTTTAGTGCCATTTATACTTTCTAAATTATTGGTAATAATTACTGTTTCATTTTGTTTCTTAACTGTTTTATAGCCCCTTGTATATATTTTCGTAAAATTTTACCTGACCTTGTTAAGTAAGTTTTACAACCATTAGTTACTCTTCTAAATTTTTAATTAATCTAAAATTTAATCAATTAAAAATTTCTCGAAATAAGAAACAAAATTTCACCTAACTTTGCAGTTAAACTATTTTAATAGAAATATTATAGTAAATTTTAACGTAGAAAGTTTCTTCTATATAGATAAAGCAATATATTTTGTTACTTTAAAACAGCATGAGGCTTCTTAGTCTTCTGTTAAAATATTTAATTCATGATATCTAATTTTGGATATTTATTTTGTAACTGCAACCACGTAGCGCTTTCTCTAAAAAACAGATCCCGCAAAACATAATGATATCATTGTAACATAAATTGCCTGTTTTGCGGAGAAATATTTAATAGAATTTAGGTTTTGACACCGGTCGAATCTGTGACACACTCCAAATTCGGCAACACTTACCGAGGAATAATAAAACCAGATTTATTAAAAACACAATTTTATGAATGTAATCAAAAGAAGAAATTGTTTTATTTCAATTACCCCTTTTCAACTTTTTAATTTATAATTTGAATTCTGGAATTCTATTCTCTTCTCTTCTAATTCTGCTCAGGGAGGGCGCCATATGTATGGAATCAAAATTGATTTAACTAAATGACTACAAGTTGTGAGAAATTGAGGCATTAGCTACCAACGAGCCTACAGGAGTCTTTAAAATTTAATTGTGAACCCATCAGATCATGAAGTGGCTGGAAAAATTCCTCTTAATAAATTCCTTTAAATATAAAGCATACAACTTAAATAAACTGCATAAATATGCTATCCAAATTAAAAAGGAACTCATTTGATTGAAATTTTAGATTAAATTCCATTTGAGAAATTTATGGGGATTATATATAACCAAAAAAAATCGCTAAACATCGATCTTTTTTTATTCTATTTATCTACCATTCTTTCCTCTCTTCTAATCATTGTATAAAAATCTTAAAATATCTTGAATATTTTAGAATTTATATGGTTACATTTTTCTTAATGATGATACAAATGAAAGAAATCTGAAATGACCATTTTATCTCTAAGTAATTTTTTTTTTCTCTTCTATGTTTTGGGGTATAAGCACCATTGTATAAAAAATTTGAAGGTTGCATTCTAATATTTTAGAATCTATACATTTTTTCCTTTAATGATGATAAATGGAAAAGAAATCTGAAATACCCATTTTATCTCCCAAGTAATTTTTTTTTTCTCTTCTTCGCGTTTTAAAGGAAGCACCATTGTATAAAACTCTTGGAGTACAATGTATCTTGAATATTTTAGAATCTACACATTTTCTTAATGATGATAAAATGAAAGAAATCTTGAAATGAATTTATTTTTTATTCCTAAGTAATTTTTTTTTTCTTTCAAGGTTTTAAAGAGTGTTATACCATTGTATAAAATTTCAAGGCTAGAATCTTGAATATCGAATCTATACATTTTCTTAATGACATAAAATGAAAGAAATCTGAAATGACCATTTTATCTCCCTCAAGTAATTTTTTTCTTTCTTGCTGTCTTTAAAGATAATCATTGTATAAAAAATTCCCTAAGGTTGTATCTTGAATATTTTAGAATCTATATAGTACATTTTTTTCTTAATGACATAAAATGGTGCGAAATTGAAATGACCATTTTATTCCCAAGGGCGAATTTTCTGCCTGTAGGGCCATGTATGACCATTGTATGTACCCCAAGGTTGTACTTGAATATCTTTAGAATCTATACGCAATATCTTTCCATAAATGGATGATGCAAATGAAAGAAACTGAAATGACCATCTTTATTCCCCCCTACAATCTGCCTTGAAATGAGCAAGAATCAATGTATAAAAAATTCCAAGGTCAGGTCTTGAAGACGAGAATCTAAGGCTTACATTCTTTCCACCGATGACAAACAAGAAAATCTGAAAATGACTACCATCCCCCCCAAGCAATTTTCTAATTTCAAGCAAGTTTAAAATATGCCAAGGATTTTATTCCCTAGTCAATATAAGGGCTTTCAAATACTTTGCATAAGGTAATTACAAGGAAACTTAGCATGAAAGGTAATTCACATTTTATCTCTTAAAGCAAAGCAATTTATACAAAACCTGATATGAGTGAACCTTGGAATTTTGAGTAACGGGTTAAGCAATCTTGAAATTTGAGAAGTTCTTGCCTTAAATTCAAAAAAATCAAAGCAACGGAAGTGCTTCTATTCAAATCTACTAATGAAGGACAAAACCTGACCCATCCCCATGTGCCAAACATTCTAACCAGTGTGGTGATAAGCATTCTGAATTCAGCCGATATCGGAAAATTGAAGGCGCCCCACGCGCACATGATCTTGGAAAAGCAAGAATTTCAGTAGCTTCAGCATATTTAAAACCTTGGGCCATGGCCGCTATTTTGAAGATTTTGAACATGTGAATTTATCGACGAGCAAAATAGAAGAGGATAATCTGAGAGTATCGACCTGGAAACTGTACTCATATATCAAGGAAAGACTGAAATCTGAACTTATACAGATTACCTCCACTAATCAATATCAGTATATAATGATGAGGTAAAAGCCTCATCAGTGTATACCCTCATCAATTCAGTTACCATGAGAACCTTTAGGTGGGAGACAAAACTGCCCCTGGTTTTGGTCTTCTAAAATGTAAACCTCGTGATAGAATTATAAAAGAAAGTAATCTTTATAAACTAAGATCTTGAGAAAAAGAGTAGATACGGAAGGGATGTTATTGACATGAATTTGACTTATGTTGCTTTAGTAAGCATCTCCTATAACTCGAAACGCTTCATGCTTTTATGCATCTAAAGCTCTTGAAAATTTTTTGAATATACGCAATGAACGCTCTTTTCACAAAATCACTTTATTAGAAGGATCGCCAAGAGATTTTCTGTATTTGCTTTAATTAGGTGCACTATATTTTTACATAGGTTTTATGAAACTCAAGAGCTTATTCTCTCATTAGTGTATTTATTTGACGCAAAGCTACTTTTTTTAAATAATATCAAATAGAAAATTAACAATACGATTCTTTCTATTTTGTAACTTGTATTTCTAACTAATACTTTTTCAGCATAATATCTAAGAATCAACCTGAGGGTTCTTTTGTCACTTCATGTAATTTATTAGGAATAATCATTTTTGGCATAGAAATATATAGAAACAAAGATAAATAGATTATAGCCTCTTTTAATGCTGCGTTTAGGATAGTTATCATTCGATAAATTTAAGGATTTTAATAAAAGAGAGATTTGCCTCTTTCCTTATCGTTCTCAGTTAAAACTCATCTATAAGAGAACTTTACTCATTTCAGAATAGCAGCTACTTGCCGGTGCAGTTTAGTCGAGTTAAATAAATTATTTATATGTATATCCATCTTTATATGTTATATCGCATCATTATTATAAGGGATGTTTTTAAATATACTACATCTTTTAGAAGTTCTGGATAATCTTTCTATTTTACAAAATTCCGCTATTATTTAAAATGTAAAACGCAAATTATTATGACTTAGTATGTGGTTCTCGACAGTCAAATGATTTCGACGTTGAAGGAATAAGGGGAAATCTCTACAGGAATTACAAAAAATACAATGTAAGTTTGAAAGTAACATTTACACTTTTTTCATATAGAAGACTATGTAGAAGTGGATCTTTTTCAGAAACCGTTTGAACTCATTTTACAAATGTATTTTATGTCAAGAATATTTTTGTCATAAACGATATTTTATCGAATTAATTGTGTACAAATCTAATCATAAATACATGTTTAGTTGATCCTGATTTAGCATAGATACATATTTATATGTTTTATATATTTTGTTTCTTTCCGTTTTGGTTATATAACCTTATTTCTATCACTTAAATACGTAATACGGATTGCTCTATATATGCGGTCAGTGAGGATGTTAAAGGGCCCCTATTTATCGTTATTTTGTCTGGTGTTAGGCAGAGAACGAAAAACCTTTTTGAATATATTTTTGGTATTTTCAACCCTTACGAGCAATATTCCATGATTTCGAACATAAAATCTTTCTTTTTGTTTTTGGATTTGGATTTATGTTCACAAGAGTGAGTGTCCGTTTGTGTGTCTAACATTTATCTCATTATGGGAGTTTCCACTTAACCAGAAGATTCCGAATCGTATAACAAGAATTTTAAAGAAGGTCTAGAACTGCCAAGAACATCAATAAACAAGAAAAAAATTTAAATTATAATATAAGTCATTTAAAAAATAACCTTTTCTTGGACTCGAACCAAGGACAAATAAGTTTACAGCCTAATATTCTGCCAACTGACCTACGACAACCACAGGCTGTGTTGGTTTGTGCGACATTAGTTATTTTTCATTTTTTTATGTTTTGATATTGATCAAGATACTGTATATATGTGAGTTCAAATAAATTGTCAACTTTGATACTTTCGTGACTAGGAATGTTGAATTTCAGTATTACTTTATGAAGCAGCGAACCTTGAGTAAGAAGCAGTGCTTACATATTTTTAAACAGAACTGCTCCGAACCATATCTTGGTGTTTTGCTGAGGTGCAGGGTATTTTGTAGAGCCAGCCATATTGGTTGCCCACAGGTCGAACACCAACTATAGTTTATTTTGCTTTAATTTAAATTAAAGCTGTAATGCATCACTGACGTTCTTCAGAACTGTCAGTGGCCGAAATTTCTTTTGTTCGTAAGAAAAGGTAAATTAAATCTATGTCTCATCTTTTCTATTAGAATAGGTGTTAAAGATATGCGTTTAGTTTTTTGATATTATGATTTTATCCATACTCATTAAAGGGATCATTTTTCAATTAAAGTAGGAAATTGTTAAGCAAGATGGTAGATTCATTGCTCATTATTATTACATTTTCATTCAATTTTACGAATTTTGAGCTGCACTTTTCCCTATGCTCTTGTTGTTAAATACATGACTAAACATCACATTATTTTCTCTTTTATCAATACAGGTTCTCCGCTTTTTTAAATTAACATGAAATAATTTTTTTTTCAATCAATCTATATTTTATTGGATGGTTCAAAATGCCTTCTTTTCAAAAGCAAAAGCGATTCGACTCTTCAGATTTATATTAAAATTTTTTGTGTGTAATTGATTAAATTGGAATATAATTCATATGCTAATTGAAAGAGATGGGCAAGGTATTTGACGATAAAAATATCACTTTTGTGAGTATCGATGTTTGATGCCATTCAAAACGAGCTGTGATTCCTCTTCCCACATATCAAACCTATCTCACTTCCAAACTAACAGTCACAGTCGTAGGCATCAGATGTATGTACTGGTGTTATGTTGGGCAAGCACACAGGATTCTTAACATAAGGTGGTTAAATGATTTGTTTTTTTAAATCTTCATAAATGAAAATTAATCAGAAATGTGCTGTGGTATGCATATATATTTATAAACAATTGCAATGATTAAAACCGGGAAATAATGAACTTCCTGATTGGAAAAAATTCTTGAAATTAAGCATGGACAGGAATGACACAAGACATATTTTTTTTCAACTGCCTATTTTATTAAGCGCTGGCTACATTCTCAGGACTACCCTGAAACTTCTTGGGTCGAATTTTGATTTCAGTGGCTTGAAAAGAAGTTTTAGATCCGCCGAAGCTATACCAGTTGATTCCATCTTCTGAGCCTACCTTGTCCGTTTTATAAAGATTCAGACCATTTAGACTGCTCGTCTGTCTTCTGTTAAACCACCATCCTCCAGACCGTGAAGTCTTTTCACCTCCAGGTTGATTTGGTTGGTCCACGGCGTAAAAGTCAGTTCCTTCGTGATTGCTAATCGCATCTCCTGTTAGTAAGAAAAGCGAAAAATATTAATGCCTCTAAAAATCATCAAAGTAGTTATCTAGGGCTGTGAACAAGGGCAGCGCAATTTTAGGGGACCTTCTTTCTCCTCTCCAACTTTCAAAACGGGATATTTGGTTGATTCTTTATAGGAATACTACATATTCCGTAAGTTCTCATGATATGAATTTTAAAAAAATCCCCAATCTCTCTCTTCCATGGACCCTAGAATACAAAAGCCCACCTCGTATGAAAGTTCATATTGAGGTTGTCCCTGACGTCATGGGCAAAACTTTAAGGGAAGGTAAAATGCATATAAAGAAGTATTTTTTGTATTGCAATGTTTGTCGAAATGAAGCGTGTAGCCGGAGAAACAAGAAATGTTAAGGAAATGAAAAGAAGCTTTTAATTTAGATCATTGTGAAAAAGACAATAAGAATAGTGTGGAACAATTCAATGCCATAGCATCCCAACATTAATAGTAATAGCTTAGAAGCTTTTAATTTGCACAATTCCCGTATATGCCCCTTCTACCCCATATGCTCCATGCACATATGCTTTCTAAGAGCGGTTCTCTGTTAATGTGTGGGCGGGTATTGTAAATGATTTCCTTATTGGTGCATACTTGCTAGCACTTCGACTCAACGGTATGACGTATTGTATATTTCTGGAAGAGGTATCAACCAGAAATACTTGATAATGTTCCATTTGCCGTCCGAAATGCCATAGGGCTCCAGACTATTTCTGCATTAATGTGCTAAATTATTTCGATATCAGGTTTGGCCCTCCATGGATTGGACGAGTTGAACCAGTTGTTTGGCCAGAACATTTTCACGGTTTCTCCAGTATCGATTTTTTTTCTTATGGTTAAAACTCAAAGCACTCATCTGCGACACTTCAATTGACTCTCGGCCTCATTGCAAGACTTTCAGTCGCGGCCTCAACTGTTCGTGAAACACCTGTCATCTTAGAAAAGGGTATGCCATCCAATTTTAAGACACTGCTAAGAATCTTTTGCTGGTGGTGGCGGCACATTTGAGAACTTACTGTTATTTTTATGAAAACAATCCTTTTTTCACTTTCTGCCAACTCCTCGTTATTCGGGGCACTCTTTTCATAACCGCCCCCACATTGTTATACAAAGAATGCGGCTTTATGTATATTTTACCTTCACCTAAAGTTTGGCACAGGAGATCATGGACGCATTGTATATAACACTTTTGGAAATATTATCTTCTGAACACACTAACTAGAGTAATTTTGATTCTCCTTCCGTCTTGCCGGCAAGACTGGATTTTTTTATGTATTTTAATTTTAACTCTACTGAAACAGTTTTTAATTAACTAAGTCATGGGTCGCCTTCAAGGGAGTTAGAAGGCCCGGTAACCTAGTGGGAAGGTCTCCGCTTCGGGTTCGGACGGTTCCAGGTTCGAAATCTAATTCTACTGAAGATCCGACGTGAATAAGGGCCTGCTGCACGTTACATAATACGTAGGGGATCAAACATCCTCCCACTGATGTGGTGCGGAAGTTTGGAGAGGGATGTGCCAGCTCATTTGACCGCGATTTAAATTTACGAGGTCCGTCCCAACATAGCCCTCGTGTTGCTTGAAAACAAGGACTTTAAAATACGAAACTAAACCAAATTTAAATTTATATTTAAGAGTATTTTAAAATAAAATGGTAAAAAATTGTAAAACAATTTTGACTCAGTCTAATTACTCTAATACAAATTCACGCAAGGCTGTTGATTTAAGAGTCAATCAGACAACTATATAAAAAAATTCTTCCACAATGATCTACAAAGGAATTTTAAAATATGGAAAAAAATCCCCCAAATATGTTCTAAAATTTAAAACATCCTTGAATTAAATTTGAATAGCATTGAGTACACGGCCCTTGTATATCAATTAAAAATTAAATTAAATCAACCTGATAATACCGCAAAAATTAACGTCTCCCTTTGCTACCAAATCCTTTCTACCACTTACATGACACACCGGGCGGGAGGGGTAAAGTAAGTGGATGAGAGTTAGCCGGATAAGTAAGTGGGTTCTCGCTTCCCGTGGGGGTAAGGCAATGGTGGTGGAGTTGAGTTGATCACATCCTCCTTCGGAAGGAATTGGTACATGTACCGGTGATGGCTATTTTGTAACTGAAGACAGAACTCGCGTTATTTTCGCCGAACATTTACTAACCCTGAGGCAGGGGGATGTGTAACATTTATGGTTACGCTTACTCGACTTGACGTATTTTTAGTTCTTGCAAAGAGGGCAATGGAATTCAAAATAAAACTGTCTTGACCTTTTTAACCTCTTCCATTCCGCATTACATACACTGCACCATAATTTCTTTCCTTTTACTTCGGCTGCGGTACAACTGCTCCATCAAGCAATCTAGAGACAGTTCTCTCCCCTTTTCTCCCAGAAGAAGTTCCTCGACCTATTTATGACCGTGACCTGCATTGTCCGTAATTGGGTGTGGATATTTTTCGCCAATTTTATCAGTTTTGTGAGCATTCCATATATTTGGCAATGTTTAGTTACAATTACAAGGCTCAGAAAACTATTCCTTTCGATAATTTTAGGCTGTCCATAATATACGGAGTTTTCTTTTCTAGTGGTTGTTTATTAGAATTTTTGTAATGCCAGGGAAATATCCCAAGCAAATCTAGATTGAGAATATGATGACGCATTTAGATGAAAAACATTTTAATGGTAATGATTCAGAGTGTGGATAATTAGAAAATAGCAATTTGGGAGATAATAATACAATAAACAAACAAAAAAGTGTCCCTTTAAGAGATAAAATTTTTAAAAAGTCAATTTCAACATTTTTATATATTTAAAATAGATATTAAAAAAAAGCATTGTTTTCAACAAATTTTTAATTTTTTCAAATTTAAGATTTCAGTTTCTTTTAGAAACAAAAAATATTCAAAAATTAAAATATAAATTAATAACTTTTTCTTAATATTGATGACTTAGAAAAAGATTTGTCACAGCAATAAATGTTATAAATTATTTTCATTGGAACAAGTAATTAAAAGTTTTACTTTTTATTTGCAGTAGCTTTACTCAGAAGCTTTCAAATGTATTCAATTAAGATAAGAACTATTATTTTTACAATACAAGGTGGAAAATGTGCCATTTAGCTTTGCGCAGTTAACGAATTTTTGAGTTTCCAGTGCTATTCAGTGTGCAGCACCGTCGAATGTTTCTCATACTAGTTGGTTTGTTGTCCTTCATCGAAATCCCAGGGTGGAAAAATATCCAAATAAGATTAAAACGAAAAATTAAAGTTTTGAAGAAAAAATTTGTCGGTTGCTGTAGGTCTGCATCCCCAATTGGTGAGGCGCCACTGGTACTGACTATTCATCGCATTTCAAGATTTCACTCGATTGACCGAGAATAAAACATTTGCATATGAAACAAGTACCAGTACCTTTTCACTATACGAACCAAGTATAACAAATGAGTTCTTTCACTTACCGCCAG